CGTAGATTGTGCATGGTAATCTTTAATCCAAATGAAACATTACTGGTGAATTGTATTTGTTTGCGTGTAAGAAAACACACATATTTCTGTAAAATGTGAAAATTACATTGCACAAGAAGGTAGGACAAGTAAGATGACATTGCACCTTAACATTGGAGCCATATACTGCTATATCTGAGATAACTTTATTGTAAGACAATGTACAGATGTGTATTAAAAAAATCAAGCCTTGACACGAGGTAAAATATGTGCTCGCTTCGTATGTTGTCTCATTTGTGTCCGAGTCAGGGCCAGATTCACGAGATTCAAAATTCGTTGAAAAAATGGACATGACTAAGAAAACAGACACAAGATCCCCACTACGAATATTTCGACGTTCTGAAAACACGTGTGTGTAATAGTGTATTTTATTAATGACGTCATAATATGAAGGCGTGGATTTTCGCCCCTGGAATCTTTGGATCTTCAAATGAGGGATCTAGAGGTGTGAACTGGAACTCACATATAGTTTAACTCTAGCTAAGTATGTTACGAGTATATCTCTTAGTAGAAACAACTATAGTGTTTTGTGCTCCAAAATAACCATAATAAATTATCAAAACTTTTGAAAAAAAAATCAAAGAATAAGCACCATGACTGTACTGTATACAACGCCACTTAATATTCAAGTTATTGAGTGTAGTACTGCACTATCATACGAGTTTTTGGAAGTTTTCGTTTCTAGTGGATTACAATCAGTCAGATTACGAATTATGTTCAGAAGTCCGTATTTTGATGCCCACAGAATAAACTTTCATTTTTTGTGAGTGAAATATTCGGCATACCTTGAATTTGTTTGCCTCAGCTGAAACCTGTCAATGTGCTTATCATAGGTGACTTAAAGTACACGTTACTGAATGACATGAGACTATAACAGCATGTGGGTGGTCCTACACACAGGTTAGGTCATACACTTGATTTGGGTAGTTGGGCCATTCATTTCGGATCATTCACATAAACACACGCACATACATTCACACTTGATTTGGTTATTTCACATGTCGCAGAAAAAAAATATATATTCTGTTACTCCTGGACCAATGGTTGGGTCATTCATTTCGAATTTTCCAGCCTTTTTCTTGGTCGGGTAGTAAAAACTAGTAACAGAAGGTTGAACATCATCAACTTCCTGTCCCGTGTTTGAATATGGATATGTTGGTCTCCAATTATGATGTAACATTGAGTAAGTCTTATTAATGAGTTCACGCCTGTCCATGGCGAGTTGATGCGACGTGTAGATGCATGCAGTTTTGGCTGAGATTGATTTATTGTCTACTGATGACGTAAAACAAATAATTATTAAGCATTCTTCTACAAAATCATGTAATCAAGATCCTTTGTCGACAGGAATATTGAAACAATGTTTGAAAGTTTCGGCTAATAGTATATCAAACGTTCGATTAATTCTTCATTTTCTGGTGGTGTATTCCCCACACAACTTGTTGTCATGTCATTGTTGAAAAGGCATGGACTTGAACTAAGATTTAAATAACTATAGCCCAGTTTATTTATTTTTATTTATCTTAATATTACTATGGTAACACCTGAGCGGAGCGAAACGACCACTTGACTTAGTCACCAAGGGCGGGTTACAGTGAGTGTAATGTGAATGAATTAATTGGAGTGTTATTAACCTTCACTTCAGAGGTACCAAGTTCGGGGAATTCTCCGCCTTTCTATCGAACAAAGACATACAGAGAATCGAATCGAGTTACATTTGGTCTCAGCCGCGTTGTTACTCTCCCACGGCCGTATCAAGAATCTCTCGAGACTGTGCCTCGTCGAGAGCTTGCTACAACTAACTGAGATCAGCTTTATTCACATTCCAACTGTTAACCAATTACAGAGAAGTTAAAAGACTCTAAGGCGTGGCCTTCACACATATAGCCAATCACGCAAAGTACTCAACATGCCATAATGTCAGATTAATTGCCTCCGATGTCGGGACATAACTCTCATACTTATCGGTGCCTCGTTGACTTAACCAACTTCCATAGTCGACCATTATATCAGCCAGTTGTTCCAATCATTAATTCCCTAACATACGAATGAACCTGATCATGACAAGTTACGAGCAGGTGTGGATTATCCAGGGGTCACCATTGGAAGTCGCGATTACTACAAAAAGCGGCCTCACCGAAATACATGAAAATATAAATCATGACAGTAAAGTGATAACATTATGGGTGTTTCGTCGATAAGCACTGCGGGTTGTTGAAAACAGTGCAACAATGTTTCTGGTATACGACAAACGAGCTTCGAACTCAATAGCTACTGGCTACCAAATTACCTGCACCTACCTTCAGTTCTTTCAGAACTTCAGTGCAAACCAAAACCTAGACGCGGAAATATAGGTTAATCAGTTCGGGCGAATATCGTTCTGACAAGCCTTCTATTAATTATATAAAGGTATGCGGAACACCTAAATTTGGTGAAAATCACCCCATCCTTTGAATCAAATTTACAAAAACACACCCTAGTTCATAGACTAGTAATATTCATATTGAATTTGACGCTCAGGGGTTGCTGGTAATAATTGAGAGAACTGGTTCCGAGCAAATACTTCATCAAATTAGAAGTAATTCATTAAATGCAACATTTCAGTCAGCTTACAGGGAGTGCCATAATACTGAAACTGCTTTAACTGACGTGCAAAGTAATCTTCTAATGGCAATTGATGGACACCACGTTTCTCTTTTGGTACTTCATGATTTAAGTGTTAATTTTGACGTTATGGACCATGCTATACTATTAAAAAAAATTGGACCAGTTCTGGCTTGGCTTAATCCCTATTTGGAAGAGACTTGTCAGTGTGTTTCTGCACACATCCCCTATGCGTGTTCTGAAATCGGGTGTACCTCAGGGCTCAGCGTTTGGCCCACTGTTATTTGATATATACTATATGGGTTCCCGTTAGCGAGCATTATTCAAGTTGAATGTCACGTAGACTTGCATGCCTCAACAAACAAGAGACTTGCTAATATTACTATTAATAGTTATGAGCATTTCAATGAAGTCACAAATCGGTGTAATGCTTGATGATTCCATCATCCACTGAACCCCATACTGATGACAATCATCACCCGAGTCGCAAGAGGGCGTCGACAAGGGACAGAAATCTATTGTTTGTTTTGCGGTATACCCAGCTTCATCATTATACGTTCACATAATATTTTATTTCATTGAAAACTCATCAAAAACACAAGAGACTTTATGCAAATCTAAACGTCACGTGTTGTATCATGTGTATGCTGATACCACGTAACTGTATGTATGTCCCTCCGACCAAAGCATTTTGTGGAAAGTCAGTCGGTTGAAGAGCTTAATAACTATATTTGTGATTTGTTAATCAGGTGCAACGTCATCAGTGGCGGCGGCACTGGATTGGGGGCGGTCGCCCCCCAAAAAAATGGGGGGAGGGGACGTCCACCCAATCAATCATGAAATCCTTTGTATCAGCAAAATTTGCCTCTCAAAATGCAGCAAATAGCGTTTCAGAAGTGTCCAGATTTCTAAATTTCATTACTATCAGTGTATCCTGGCGTGATTTTCAACAATCATCAGTTATTCCCATTTTATCTGACGATTACTGATGTGCACGTTGTTTATTATACTCTATTGGAATTTCCATGGGGAGTGGTCAGGCTTCCTTTATGGATCACGATCTATATCGCCATTACCATGCAGGCCGGGGGGGGGGGTCACTAGTAGAAACCTACCAACGTTTATGCAAGGCACCCAAGCGGTCTGTAAAAATGTTTTAAAATGGTTAAGGAGTCACATTTTGACACATTTGAGGGTCAGGAAACCCTAGACAAATTTTTGAAATTTTCTGGATTCAAAGTTATGTTTATACTATATTAAGAATTAGGTTTTTATTGAAATGTATTTTGAGGAATTTGGCCTCCCGGGCCGTAATTTTCACCAAACGTTGTTGTTCGCATACCCGTATATAAATAACATAAGTGACCCCCCCGGGCCATACAGACGAATGACACAAGGAAGTCGTGAAATAACTCGTATACCCATAAGTCTCGTTTAGATGTGTATTTATAGTTTAAACAATTCAGATCAATCAACACAGTGTGGGGGTTTTATTGAGTGGGTTGACTTGTTCCCTGGAATTGTCTCAAATCTTACACCAACGGTTCTTTATTACGTGAAAGCACTGAACGGGTCCACCTATTTTTCTCTACTTAAATATGCATTTATGTCCAACAGACTAAACAATACAATGGATTGGGAGAATCGGTGGTTACTGCTTTAGATTTACACAGGTCCCTTCAACAGGCCTGCTGTTTTGAACCCATTTCTGTTATAAAATCAAGATATGCAGAGCAGTGTAACCACACTTCACCGTCCAATAACTATAACATGTCTGATGAGAGCATCTTCAGGTCTGAGCAAAAAAAATAAAAAAAAAATACACACACACACACACACAAGAAAAATCAATGGGTCAACACATTCGTCATAACCATTTTAAACTGAAAGAATACAACAAATTGGAGGATACTGTGAAATTTTAATGCAACTACCGTTAAATAACAAACAAAAATAACAAACGTGATTTTCAACTTGAAATCTAATGTTTTGGGATATGGTTATGATTTTTAGACTGTACTCAGTAGCACGCAATGCGACCTATGGCAGCACAACGTTTGTGATATTAAATTTGTATTGAAATCGTATCCAGCGGCGGATTGGGCGGGCGGGGGGTTCTTAGGGGTCAGGGACCCCCCCCCCCCGTTGAAAAAAAATATTCAATTTGTTTTTGTATAATATAAAAAAATCATTAATTTAGTCTGACGATTTTAAAGTTTGCCCCCCCCCCAATAAAAAATCATGTATCTGCCCCTGGTATCGTCATAGTGTACAATAAAGCAGACAGTAACGACAAAATGTATGTTGATTTGGCACACGGAATAGCGCCCTCACGCTTCAAAAGGTCAAAGGTAACACAGAATTCTTTCTAAAGATGGTGGAATAAGACGTTTGCTGAGGATAGTCTTGTTTTCCACATCGTAAGTATTGCTCGTTCGTCTGATCATATAATTGTTACTTTGAATAGAAATGTCCGCGTACAAAATTGTCTCTTGAAAAGTTAGTGCTGATCGTTTTGACGGCGGTTCGGGTTGTATATACATGTCTGTTCTGTCACCATCACAACAACAAATCAATCGGCACGACGACAGCAACGCATTGCCAGTTTGAAACAAACACGGATTGTGTAGTATGATTATTTATGTGTATAAATGGCGTTCAACTTGGTGACTGTCGTATACCTCTACGAATATACCTATGAGTTCAGAGAATTTAGAACCAAATTCGGATTGTGTTCGTGTACTTAAAGGGTCATTAGCTTTAACCATGTCTTTGCTTTAACTGAACTGTCTGTCAAACACCAATCAAGTAGTTTATTTCTGTAGATGGACGTCTTATGTGATGGTTGCTACCATCTAGGCCGATTATTTTGATCCAAAATGCTGTTTTTTAAACCCAAGTATATGGGTCCATTTTTTATTTTGACGAGCACATTAAACTCTACATGTGTACTATATATCTTATTGTTATTGTAAATGAATTAATTCTTCACTGGGTTTTAACTTGCTATTTTTTGCTGATAAGTAAAATACGCAAAATTGAATCTACATGAATATGTTGAAATAACAATAGAACTCATTGTTTTCCTTGCTAATTTGTGAACTTGAAACCCAAAATTTGTGTGCAAAAACATCAGAATAGTGAAATTAAATGTCATTAAAAATAAGTTAAATAATTTGAAGAATTACTTACATTTTGATGGCTTATGAACAAATATTTTTTTTTCAATCAGATTACAATTTTGGTGATAGTTTCTACAGTTTCTACAGCAGTCACTAAATACAAGCTTCATTACCACAGAATACCATGAATTCTGAACCATATATCACCTGTGTTCAAAGTGCAAGCATGTAATGAAGGTCATGCTCACTTTACTCAGAAATACAGGAAGTGACAAACACAAAATACCATGATTGTTCTTATTTTAAACCGTATGTATCACAATTTGTTTGAAAGTGATATCATGTGATTAAGGTCATGCTGAGATGAACCATACAGGAAGTGACATAAAATATTCTATTGTTCCTATGTATCACATTTGTGTGAAAGTGAAAGCAGAGGGTCATACTGACATTACTCATTGGTTCATATAGAAATTAACAAACACAAAATACCCATATTGTTCGTATTTCAAACCATGTATCTCATTTGTGTGAAGGTGAAAGCGTATAATGAAGGTCATGACCCACAATACATGTACTGTCACCAGCCGTGATGTACACAAGATGTAATTCTGTATTTATTTATTATAATGTGTGAGTTGTACATGAAAGATTTATTTATATATTTAATTATTATCATAGGTAGAGGTGAGAGGTGGGATTTTATAGGCAATATTTAGGTGCATTTAACACTATACATACAGCACTGGACTTCACTGGATGAGTATCTGCGTGATGAATGTACAGGCGACTGGTATTTAAAGTCCAACGGCGTGTTTCCATGAGGTTGCTGCTCAAGATTTTATCCAATGAATAGGGTTTTACGCTTTGAGTGTGCCTGAAATCCGGTGAGCAAATATACATACTACCATAGCTGAACCCGGCATTTAGAATCAAAGTCTGAATCTTCAAAACTGAGAAGGAAGCCTGGTGATACAGTTACGAAGGTAGAGTTGAACATTTCAATTCGCGAACTCCAGTCGCTGGCCATGTAAAGATCATTGGAGCAACCAACTCTGGGCTGCAAGGACTTGGCACACGTTGAGAAACTGAACCGGGTACCAAACATTCCTACACTCACATAAGTTAGTGATGGGCTTTCAGTTATTATATTATGCTTGTAACTTTATAGAATTGTTATTTTCCTGGCCTGTTTATTTGCATGATATTTTACAAATATATATATGAAGAGTATTTAATGTTGTTTTTCCCTTTTGCTGTGTGTTTCTGTCACCTTCACCTCTTACTAACCGGGTAACCGTGTTGGTGTGTGGTGAAAGCCACATTTAGCACTAAATTACTGCAGGGGTGACTGATACTGCAGGAGATCAGAACTATACCAAGTATAAATTTTGTACTATGGTTTCACTTAGTCCATGTGTGGTATCGTATGTGTAAGATTAACCAAGTTGCACTCTTGTTTATATTTATATATGCATATAATTGTATTGAACTATACTGGTGCCATTCAGTCGAAAATATTCCTGTTTTAAAATTGATTACAAACCTGCACACGAGGCAGTTAAAAATATTGAATATTATTGGGTATTTTGGGTTAATATTTGACCTGACCCTGTGACCTCATGTACATACAGAAATTTATACAATTCTGATTTTATTTTCAGTAAAATTATCATATAGCAAGATGTCTAACAACAGCAAGATAGCGTTGCATTACAAGGCACCTAGTGTGGGTGCAATGTTTGAACATGGTATACCAAGCATAGAGACACTGCAATCTGTTATTAAAGACATAGACCAGCAGTTGGATGATAATTCTTATAGGTAAATATTTTATTTTATTTCATTTCATTTCATTTTATTTTATTTTATTTTTATTTTTTATTTTATTTTATTTTATTTTATTTTATTTTATTTTATTTTATTTTATTTTATTTTATTTTATTTTATTTTATTTTTATTTTATTTTATTTTATTTTATTTTCCATTAAGTTACATACTCACTAGCCATTGAGTGACGTTCTCACTAACCATTGAGTGATGTGCTCACTAGCCATTGAGTGACATACACACTAGCCATTGAGTGACATTCTCACTAGACATTGAGTGACATGCTCATTAGCCATTGAATGAGGTACTCCAGGGGTTTCACAAATGTATTTAATAGCAGGCCATCGTCCTGTAACAACAGGCCAAAAAAAGAAAAAGGTTCTCGGCAGTTTGCGCTGCAGTGAGGCCGATGTAGGCAGTCTGGGTGGAGAAAGTATACGGCCAATTTGGGTTTGTAGCCGGCCATATGGCCAGCGGTCAGCTCTTAACGAAACCCCTGGTACTCACTAGCCATTGAGTGACATACTCACTAGCCATTGACATACTCAAACTAGCCATTCAGTGACATACTCACTAGCCATTGAGCGACATACTCACTAACTATTGAGTGACATACCCACTAACCATTGTGTGACATATTCACTAGTCATTGAGTGACATACTCACTAGCGATTATTGAGTAACATACTAACTAGCAATTATTGAGTGATGTACACACAAGCCATTATTGAGTGACATACTCACTAGCCATTGTGTGACATATTCACTAGTCATTGAGTGACATACTCACTAGCGATTATTGAGTAACATACTAACTAGCAATTATTGAGTGACGTACTCACTAGCCATTAAAGTGTAACTGAATTGGGCCAATTGACTTTTTTGTGTGCAAAATTTATTTATAAACAACATTATGAAAAAAAATCAAGTGAAAAGGGTATATAAATTGGGTAAACAGTCAATGATATTCCAAAACCGGGCCACGCCCCCCTCTCCTGCCACCTTCAAGTTTTTTCGGCATTACGAGTGTTGCCGAAATGGCGCCACCAACGGGACCATACAGCAGGAGATTGCTAGCAGACAAGATTGTTTACCATTTTCCATATGCAAGCGTTTAGTAAACCAGCATAC